ATATATATATATATATATATATATATATATATATATATATATATATACACACAATATATATGTGTGTGTTTGTATATATATATGTGTTTATTTGTGAACCATTCCATTGTAGATCTGGCTTTATGTTTTGGATCATTGTCTTGTTGGAAGATAAATCTCCGTCCCAGTCTCAGACCTCTTGCAGACTCAAACAGGTTTTCTTCCAGAATGGTCCTGTATTTGGCCCCATCCATCTTCCCATCAATTCTGACCATCTTCCCTGTCCCTGCTGAAGAAAAGCAGGCCCAAACCATGATGCTGCCACCACCATGTTTGACAGTGGGGATGGTGTGTTCAGGGTGATGAGCTGTGTTGCTTTTACGCCAAATATATTGTTTTGCATTGTGGCCAAACAGTTCGATTTTGGTTTCATCTGACCAGAGCACCTTTTTCCACATGTTTGGTGTGTCTCCCAGGTGCTTGTGACAAACTTTAAACAACACTTTTTATGAATATCTTTGAGAAATGTCTTTCTTCTTGCCACTCTTCCATAAAGGCCAGATTTGTGCAGTGTACAACTGATTGTTGTCCTATGGACAGACTCTCTCACCTCAGCTGTAGATCTCTGCAGTTCATCCAGAGTGATCATGGGCCTCTTGGCTGCATCTCTGATCAGTCTTCTCCTTGTTCGAGATGAAAGTTTAGAGGGACGGCCAGGTCTTGGTAGATTTGCAGTGGTCTGATACTCCTTCCATTTCAGTATGATTGCTTGCACAGTGCTCCTTGGAATGCTTAAAGCTTGAGAAATCTTTTTGTATCCAAATCCGGCTTTAAACTTTTCCACAACAGTATCTCAGACCTGCCTGGTGTGTTCCTTGGTCTTCATGATGCTCTCTGCGCTTTGAACAGAACCCTGAGACTATCACAGAGCGGGTGCATTTATACAGAGACTTGATTACACACAGGTGGATTCTATTTATCATCATCAGTCATTTGGGACAACATTGGATCATTCATAGATCCTCACTGAACTTCTGGAGTGAGTTTGCTGCACTGAAAATAAAGGGGCCCAATAATATTGCACGCCCCACTTTTCAGTTTTTTATTTGTTAAAAAAGTTTGACACATCCAATAAATTTCATTCCACTTCACGATTGTGTCCCACTTGTTGTTGATTCTTCACAAAAAATTAAAATTTTATATCTTTATGTTTGAAGCCTGAAATTTGTCAAAAGGTTGAAAAGTTCAAGGGGGCCGAATACTTTTGCAAGGCACTGTAGTTAAGGTAGGTACAAGAAACGTACAAAAAATACTGTTTGAAAAATATCTATATGTACCAATAAGCTTTTTGAAACCATTGTAAAAAAAATAAATAGTTGTAACAGTCATTTCTAGACATTTATAGCCAAAATCTGGTATGTTTGTTGTCTAAAGAAATCCCCAAAACATAAAATTCAGATTATGGGGAGACCAAATCACACACCAGGTGGCAGTCCCCATCAAAGTTTGTCCCGGAACTTTTCTAGTACAAATAATATTCCTTCAGATTATTAAATAGCATTTGTTCAAATAAAACCAAAGAAAAAAGAAGGTCAGTAAAAGGCTTATAGCCAGGTTACTGTATATCTCTCCAGTGCTTTACGACACCATAAAATACAGTGCCCTGAGACAGCCTCTGTTGTGATTTGGCGCTATATAAATAAACTGAATTGAATTAAAATATAAAATTATCTCCAGTTGCCTTATCATCTCTAGCTATTAAAGACTAACATCCATCCATTATCTTTACCCGCTTATTCCATTTTGGGTCATGGGGGTCGCTGGTGCCCATGTCCAGCAATCACTGTGCGAGGGGCGGGGTACACCCTGGATGGGTCTCCAGTCCATCACAGGGCCACATAGAGACAAACGAGACAAACAACCATTCACTCTCTCACTCACACCTAGGGCCAATTTAGAGTTACCAATTAGCCTAACTTGAATGTTTTTGGTCTGTGGGATGAAACCGGAGTACCCGGAGAAAACCCACGCATGCACGGAGAGAACATGCAAACTCCACCCAGAAAGGCCCCTGGACCGGGTTTGAACCAAGGACCTGCTCACTGAGAGGCAGCAGCTCTACCAGTTGCTCCACCGTGCTGCCCAAAGACAAACATAAACAAATAAAAAACATCTCAAAACCCAGAGGCAGGAAGGTGAAAAGCAGAGACCTCTGTTGAAAATTCAGTTTTATTTGATCATTGCTGATGTCTTTCTTGCTAAAGGTGCTAACACACCTGTATGTTTGTCTGGAGGTCCCACTGATGCTAATCAATAAATTTGAGAGCACTGTGGAAGCAGCAAGGCTGGAACCAGTTTTCACTTTGTTTTAATATTTTGTCTTAGTTTTGTTTGATTAAAAAATGTGGTGTAGTAGGTCTTGTATTGGAAATCAGAGATTGTAGTAGCTTTTTATTTTGTCCAAATTTATGAAAGTTGTGAGGTAAAACAAAGACCCAAGTAAAACTACACACCAAATAAAATAATCGATGCTTTCCAGCATCAAATTCATGCTCAGTAATCCAGGTAGATAAATCCAACAAAGTTAAGTCAGGTTATCTGGACAGTTTCTTTTTGTTGAAACGTTTTGCCTATCCAAAGGACTTCAAAAGTCCCAGGAGCCACAACAAACTCAGTCTTATAAATACCAACTTACATAGTGGGTCGACCAGTTTGATTGTGATAAGGTGGTTTCTGGAGTCCGCCCTCTCCCCTGCTGGCTATCTAACTGGATTATTGAGCATGAACTTTGATATTTTGAACCACTTTGGCCATGACTGCCTCAAGAGCCAGCGGGGGAGAGGGCAGACTCCAGAAAACATCTTAGTACCATCAAATAATCATCAGTCATCATCAAATAAGACTGAGTTTGTTGTAGCTCCTCAGACTGATCCAGAGGACCTGACTTAATTTTGTTGGAACACTTTCCAGTGTTTCCCCTACCATACATTACTTGCCTTGGCAGGGCACTCATCTCTGGTTATTTTTGTCAACGAGGGTGGGGGTGAGGTGAGTAGAGATGGCTCATCGTGAGGGAATCGGAGCGCTATCTCTAGCTTTTTAGCTAGCGCGTCTGTATTGTGCACCATTAGCTTAGCACTACAGCAATGTGCTCACTGCTTCCTGTAGCCCATGACCCCTCTTGACCTGAAAAAATGACATATGAACAAATCTGTTCTTAGTCTTTTGAAATAACTTATATGTTGTCCTGTAAATTCTGTAACAAGCACCAGGTTTTCCTCCTTATCGCTAACAGAGTTTCAGTAATACAGACCTTGTGGATGAAGAGCCCTTGCTGTTGGAGAGGAGCTTCTTAACCCCACAGTGGAGATGTTATGCCAAGTACATCAGCTCCCAGCAGCTGCTCCTTACCTTCCTCCCTGCTACCTTTGCAGGTACTCCTGTAGATTGATTTTGTTTCCCACCAAAGTAGGTGAAGGCAGAATGTTTGTGTACAGTATATGTGTCTGTTACTAAAATATATCTCATTTAATTGAAACTGTTTAAAGTGGATGTTTATCTACAACCGATTACCTTTTGGAATCAACCCAATCTAAGAAGAATGCAACAACAAACTGACTTTAAAAACACAAACTACTATTATAACTCAACCAGTTTAACAAATATTGAGCTATAATTCACTTGCTTTAATTTTATGATATTACATGAAAACATGCATACTATTGTTAAAAGTTAGATCAACATCGCCCTGTCATTTCTCATCAGAAGTTGATCTTTGTCTAAAACTCTGGCGTGAGAGGAGGCGGGTGATATGCATTCTTTTTAAGGAATGTTAGGACTTCAATATTTGTTTTTATTTAGTGTAAAAACACATGCTCTTATTGGAAAACGGATAATGTAGAAGTTGTTTATTTTGCAGATCTTCTGATGCTAATGGCGCCACCAGAGGGAACTGAGCCTCAGAGTACTACCAGTACCCAGGAGGACGACACTCTGACTCCCAGCAACATGTCTCAGGCAGACTCCTTGTCAGGATCCACTAGTGGTCCAGACAGGTCTGAGTCTGGACACAGTTCAGCCTATAAACTGTGCAGGACAACCAGAGGTGGGCTCACGTCCCCTTCCCTCTCACCAGACTCTGAACACCACACTGAACCTGCTGAGTTCCTGTGCTTGGACCCAGTCAGTTTGAGCAGCAGACAGTTAGAGAAAGAAGCTGGGACACCGAGCTTAGGTTGGTTTAAAAGTTGAGTCATATAGGCCGAGTGTCTTCAAGAAACAGGGCCGCACACTTTTAAACACAACATGAAGGACTGATGATCTGATGAACATGTCTTACGTTCTTCCTGGTCTAGGTCTGGGAGATAAAGAAGGAGTCCAGTTCTCTGAACCCCAGAAGTCAGATTTTCACATCAACTTCAGCCGACAGATGTCACAGCACAATACTGGCGCCAGCAGCTGTTTGAGGTGTCCTGTTTATGTCTACAACTGCTCATGGGAGCACCTGAAAGAGCAGCTGGTCCACCCAAATTCAAACCGCCAGCCCAAAGACATCTTCTTTAGGTGAGGAACGTCTTCAGGGGAGGAGCTTCTTCAGGTCAAGAGCTCACCGTCAGAAGGGTTGGGGGTTAAAATGTTTTAGAAGCACTCAATTCCAGACGTTAAAGATTTTGAATACATTTTAAATGTCAAAGATGGATTTTGGCAGCATGGTGGCTCAACTGAGTTGCTGCCTCTCAGCAAGATACCATACCATACCACTTTATTTATAAAGCACTTAAAACAGCTACAAGGCCAACATGGTTGTTGGTTCAAATCCTGTCTGGGGGGCCTTTCTGGGTAGAGTTTGCATGTTCTCTGTGCATGCGTGAGTTTTCTCCGGGTACTCTGGTTTCCTCCTACAAACCAAAAACATGCATGTTAGGCTGATTGGTAACTCTAAATTGTTCGTAGGTGTGAATGAGAGAGAGTGAATGGTTGTTTGACCAGTTTGACTCTGTGTCCCTGTGATGGACTGATGACCTGTCCAGGGTGTGGGTAGGAGCACCAGTGATCCCCGCCATCTATAAAGGAAAGCGAATCTGTTAAAAAAAAAAAAAAGACTGAAGTTACTGAGGTGAAGAGTTTTGGCCTTAATTACAAACCGGATTCCAAAAAAGTTGGGACACTAAACAAATTGTAAATAAAAACTAAATGCAATGATGTGGAGATGGCAAATATCAATATTTTATTCGTAATATAACATAGATGACAGATCAAAAGTTTAATCTGAGTAAATGTAACATTTTAAAGGAAAAATATGTTGATTCAAAATTTTACAGTGTCAACAAATCCCAAAAAAGTTGGGACAAGTAGGAATAAGTGTCTGGAAAAAGGAAATTGAGCATATAACGAACAGCTGGAAGACCAATTAACACTAATTAGGTCAATTGACAACATGATTGGGTATAAAAAGATCTTCTCAGAGTGTCAGTGTCTCTCAGAAGCCAAGATGGTAAGAGGATCACCAATTCCACCATTGTTGTGCAGAAAGATAGTGCAGCAATACCAGAATGGTGTTACCCAGCGTAAAATAGCAAAGACTTTTAAGTTATCATCATCAACCTTGCATAACATCATCAAAAGATTCAGAGAATCTGGAACAATCGCTGTGCGTAAGGGTCAAGGCCGTAAAACTCTACTAGATGCTCGTGATCTCCGGGCCCTTAAACGTCACCGCACCTCAAACAGGAATGCCACTGTCAAGGAAATAACAGAATGGGCTCAGGAATACTTCCAGAAAGCATTGTCGGTGAACACAATCCACCGTGCCAGTGCCGTTGCCAGCTGAAACTCTACAGTGCAAAGAGGAAGCCATTTCTAATCAAGCTTCACAAGCTCAGACGTTTGCACTGGGCCAGGGGTCATTTAAAATGGAGTGTGGCAAAATGGAAGACTGTTCTGTGGTCAGATGAGTCATGATTTGAAGTTCTTTATGGAACACTGGGACGCCATGTCATCCAGACCAGAGAGGACAAGGATAGCCCAAGTTGTTATCAACGCTCCATTCAGAAGCCTGCATCACTGATGGTATGGGGTTGCATGAGCGCTTGTGGCATGGGCAGCTTGCATGTCTGGAAAGGCACCATTAATGCAGAGAACTATGTTCAGGTTCTAGAACAACATATGCTCCCATCTAGACGTCATCTCTTTCAGGGAAGACCCTGCATTTTTCAACACGATAATGCCAGACCACATTCTGCAGCAATCACAACATCATGGCTACGTAGGAGAAGGATCCAGGTACTGAAATGGCCAGCCTGAAATCCAGATCTTTCACCTATAGAGAACATTTGGCGCATCATAAAGAGGAAGGTGCGACAAAGAAGGCCCAAGACGATTGAACAGTTAGAGGCCTGTATTAGACATGAATGGGAGAGCATTCCTATTTCTAAACTTGAGAAACTGGTCTCCTCTGTCCCCAGACGTCTGTTGAGTGTTGTAAGAAGAAGGGGGGATGCCACACAGTGGTAAAAATGGACTTGTCCCAACTTTTTTGGGATTTGTTGACGCCATGAAATTTGGAAACAACAGATTTTTCCCTTAAAATGATACATTCTCTCAGTTTAAACTTTTGATCTGTGATTTGTGTTCTATTTTGAATAAAATGTTAGATGTTGGCACCTCCACATCATTGCTTTCAGTTTTTATTCACAATTTGTTTAGTGTCCCAACGTTTTTGGAATCCGGTTTGTATTTTCATTCAGAACAACAATCTTTTCAACTGTGTTCTTCTTGTCCTTTGGCAGATCTTTGTCTCAGGACCGCGGCAGTCCATCCCCCTGGGCAGAACTCCTTGCTCAGCCTCACAAACACAAGGAACTGGCTAACTATTGCAGCCTGCTGCAGGAGCACTATCACCAGAGCTACGTCAGAGGTGATTTCCTATTTAAGACTCTGGGCATGGGGCAGAGGTCATGCATTACATCTTTTTATAGCTAGTATAAAACTGAACTGGTTATATCCATTAATTCTCAGTCAGGTCATCTGGACAGTTTTTTTTTTTTATAGAGATGTTTCGCCCTCTATCCGGAGGGCTTCAACAGTCTGATGGTGAAATGTCTCTATGAAAAAGAAACTGTCCAGATGACCTGACTCAGAATTGTTGGATTTGATACCTGGATGATTGAGCATGAACTTTGTTGAACTGGTTATAGTTTAGAAAAACAGACATGAAACCTGTTTATTCTCACTTAACTACATTCAGCACCAGTGAGCAACAACAATACTGGTGCTCTCAGTTACCTCAACATCAGGTACCCGGTACATTCTGGAAAACTGCTTGAGTCAGAGGAAAGAAATTTGTGGCTTTAGTTCCATATTTTCTTTTACATAAATTAAATATGTAAACACTTAATTGATTAACTACACTAAAAACAAAACAAATGGTTTTCTATTATGTAGTTTGAGGATGTTTCTAAACTCAAAACCGTAGAGTGTGCATCTTATGTAGCTTTAAACTGCATTAAATAGTTAATTTATATAGATTAATTTTACTCCTCTCTGTCCTGAGGGTCATTAGGTCCAGTATTTATTTACCTTTTATTTTTATTTACCATGACTGAGAATCTACACCAGCACGGAGGTGGTTCCAGCCCAGTTTAAAAGCTCAAGAACTGTATTTTTCATCTGTGTGGAGCTCTACTCTGACAGAAAACATATCCAAATGTAAAAACCACACTAAAAATAAACAAATAATTATTAAAAACTGGTGCAAATTTGCCTATATTAATTTCTTAAGGGTACTTCAGTAGATTAGGAGTGGGTACAAGGTGTTCAATGATAAAGGTTCACAGTACTGCAGTATTGCAAGCTGTGTACATGGAAATATGTTGTGCTTTTCGAACACTGGCTCCACAAAACATTGGCTCATTGCCATCTGGTTGCAAACAATCTGCATTTTGTTAGTCTGGAAGGAAAACTTCCTGCTATTATGAGTCCCCAATTAGTCTCTTACAATTGGAGCCCAGTGAGATAGTGTTTTATTTAGGAGTCTACAGTTTTCACTGCAGCTATAGGTAGTGATGGTGAACTGATTTGTTAACTCTGTTCAAAAGACAACAAGAAGAAACCAAGTTGTATCCTCGTGGTCCCTGAATGATATAAGATCCAAATGTATTTTCGTTGTGCTTTGCTACAATGATTATAAAGCTGATTCTGATTCTGATGTTGTTAGGACAAGTTATCCTCACACAGTATTTCATCAATAAGCATTTGATTTTCTTTTTCTTCTGCACTTAGTTTGATTATTTATTTGACCTTTTGTACCTTTGGTGAAAATCATATTGGATGGAAGAGACGCACGCATACAGTAGCACACAAGGCTTCATGGCCATAAACATCTGGGCTGCATGAACCTATTGACCGAGGGTCTAGGCAGACCTTAGTGGACATGTAAAGATGAAGAAATTTACATCACAGCAGAACAGATGTGGAAAGCAGTTCTCAAAAAAAAAAAAAAAAAACACCTAAATAAAATGAAAACTTAAGATCTGTTGAGCATAAATGTGAAATACGACAAAACATATGTTGCCTTTAAATGAGGCATAACTTCCAAAACTTGTGACAATGCTGAAAACAAATGAAATGCTGCCTGAACAGATTGCTGATCAGAACAGCCACCTAGCTGGTGATCATTTATCAAGTTTTGGATTCTTATTCAAGAACAAAAGCCTATTCACTGCAGCAGGCTTCAGTTAAGACCTATTACACGTAATAACGTTCCTTCCTGTGCTGGACAACCCTTCAGAGGCTGCGCAGTGGCTTGGATGCACAGATATTTTTTTTGCCAAATGGCTAACTTGAGGAAAGTTAACTTCATGCACCTTCCACTAGTTAAGAGGATCACTCTCACTATCTGCTGGTGTTGAGCGCTGTTTGTACCGGCAGTTTTCGAGCGTGGGGGGAGGGAGGTTCAGCGTGAGGGAAGAGGCAGCGAGCGATGTCTTTAGCTTTTGAGCTAGCTAGTATTATGTGTGGGAGCTTAGTGTTACACCAGTACCAACAGGTGTGTGTAGGGGGGCAGTTTGGTTTGGTAGGTGGCGCGCTTGGTTCTGTTAACGGGGCAGGGAGCCCCGCTTGTATAATGGTAGGGGAAACACTGATGTATTTATGCCATGAAATGAGCATATCATGATATCATTTATTTTCCCGTGCAAGTTTTTTTTACTAGTATTATCGTGAATATGATATGGCCCAGCCCTAGTTTGCAGTCTCTGCGGCTTGATTTAGGAGTGAAACTCCTCCATTGTGTCTTGTCATCATCTGTTACTACTGGATCCTATGCCATGTGGCTGGTAAGAAACAGATCCAGTCACTGCACCCACTTTAACACCTACAGTAACTTGGTAACAAACATGATTTCAGATTTAGCAAAGCACAATACTTAAATCAAAACATAATGAAATAAAAGTCTAAATTAATAAAAGTACTAAAAAAGCTAAAAGAACACAAAAATATTACTTAACTGCAGTAATGTGAGCAAACTTATTCCCTTCCATCTCTGGCAGCATCATTGTGTCTGAGCAGGTGCCAACCAATGTGAAACTTCATGTTGGAGACAGAGCTGAACTTGAAATGATTAGTTTTAAAACACAGATGAATTGTATAAGTGAAACTTGTCTTTATGGTCCTCAGGTGTGTACCGAAGTCTGCAGCAGTCCTACAGCATCAGCTACCAGGATGTCCTGATGGCAATGGACTACTGTGAAGAATCACTGCAGGAGATTGACATCACCACCTTCCTGCAGACCCTCTGTGGACACATCAGGACTTTTAAGGAAAGCAGAAAGGCTCCAAACTCCAGGGAGAGCCCCCAACCTTCAAGGAGCATTGGAGAGACAAATGATGGGCGAGCAGATACCAAGGCAGTCCTAGGCTCCATGTGCAGGTAAGATCCACAAATGAAATGACAGAAAAAGTGGAATTATTATTTTTTTAGATTATCATCATTTTTTTGTTGCTACTACTCAATTTGTCTTATTGTCTTGAATGTTTCTGTGCAGCACCAAAACAACGTGCTGTTTTCTATTTTGCTGTGTAGCTGCTTCTAGGCGTAAGAAAGGTCCCTATTGATTGTGACAAATTGCGTTGCCATGTCAAAATCTACTCCAGAGAAACGCTCATCTCTAAAACTACAATCATTTACTGTTCAAATCCCTCAGCAATGGAGGACATTGGTGTACAGCTTGTTTTTTAAGTCCTTCCTCTGCATAGATATCTATCTACAGTTTTTAAATATATTCATAATTCTCGTGCTAATAAAGTCATGACTACAATGTTAGATGAAATATGTGTCAAACTGTGAATTATGACTGGTCATTTCACTGAGCAATAATAGAATGTGTCCTGCAGAAAGGTCTGCAGATTGCAGACAGCAAAAGACTTATTCAGTCATGACTGAAGAAATGTTTCAACAAAGAAGAATCTGTCCAGATTATCTGATTAACCTTGTTATATTTATCTAATTATAGGGGTGCAGGAAACAATGGTTTTTAAAGAATCTGGATCCTTAGTCCTGGCGATTCCGAATCGATTCTAAAGGCCCATAAATCGATTTTAAGTTGTGTTTAAGTTTAAATTTTTTCCGCTCCTACTCCCGAGCGTACTGCATGTCGCATTACGTGTCCGCTCGGCTGCCGTAGAATTTTGTCCGTGTAAGCCACCGTACAGCAAGCTAGTTAACCAGCTCCCTTTATCTGAATGGAGTCTGCTAGCATGGAGGAGGGGGAAAGCGCAATTCAACCCGCTCCTTCGTCTTTAAAGTAATTTCAGATCCTACAATGTTCCGGGGGAAGACAGAGCTTAACAAGAGCACAGTTGTTTGCAAGAAGTGTAAAATAAAATTGCGGTACAGTATTTCGGAAATACAACAAAGTGTATGGAAGATGAAAGCGAAAGCAGCCGACCAGCAAACTCTGCAACAAACTTCCAGGCTCCCCCAAAGGCTGCGAAGATTTCCTTCTCCATCTCCTGCTATATCACAAAGAATTTACAAGCAGACAGCTCAGTGGAAGTTGAGGGATTTAGGTTTATTTTTAATACGCTGGACCCAACATAAATGATTCCTTCAAATAGATTTTAGTGATAAACCTGCCCCACAACGCCACCATGATACAAAAATAAAGTGGGAGAAGCTCTGATTAATGCACCAGCTGCAGCTCAAAGGTAACTGTTTTTTATCATAAAACTTATAGACAAGTTGTGCAACAAACTTAATGTAATTTGTCTTTTTAACAAGTTGAACAGAGGCCAGCTGAGACACATCGCCTGGAGCCAGTTCTAAATGATATAATTTATGGTTGATAAATTACAGTTCAGAAGAGTTTTCGTGCAGACTTGCACAGGTTTTGAAATTTTGTTAAAGATTTACCAAATATGAATCAATAGGGTTAAGACTATAAAGTTTGTATATTTTATATTAGGTTAAGTTTTGAAAATATAACAAATGTTAGAGCAATATGGTTAAAAAAAAAACTGTGAAGTCTGTATTTTATGTTGAGTTAAGGTTAATGTACTATGGTAGGCTGAAGTCTTTGTTTACTTTTGTATTTGTATATTTTGAATTATTTGTCTGTGATGGACTGGAGACCTGTCCAGGTGTCCCCCGCCTCTCACACAGTGGTGGCTGGACATGGGCACCCATGACCCCTGTGACTCGAAAAGGAAGAAGTGGATAAAGATGATGGATGGACAAATTATTTGTTCCTAGATTATTTTTTTTTAGAAAAATCCAGGCAACTAAGCTAACCTAATACAGAATTTTATGCACGCCTATATTTGTTCCTATTTTTGGTATAAACATAAAATGATGGAAAAATATTTGATACAGTAAGGAACATAAAATTGTTTTAAATAAATGTTCCATTTGTTTACATTGTTGTTTATTCTTTTCAGCTTAAAATTCTTGTTTTAAATAAATGTTCTATTTGTTTACATTGTTGTTTGTTCTTTTCAGCGTGTCAGTTACATAATTGAAACTAAATTTATTACCATTTCAATAGAAAAATGTTTCCTGAATCGAAAAGTCACTCTTGAATCGAATTGCGACACCAAAAATCGTAATCTAATCGATTTGCCAGACACAGATTCGCACCTCTATCTACCTAGATTATTGAACATGCCTCAGTTATCATACATTTTATTCAAATTAATGCCAGCTTGCGATTTAATAATGATAAAAAATCTTTAAAGTGAGTTCTCACAGAGTGTGGAAGTCAACAGGAGTATTGTTTCTGTGGTGATTCTAGCAGTATTGAAGTGGAAGAATCCTGTGAAGCTGAATCTGGGGGGAGGCTCCATACTTCCACACCACCATCAGGCCTGAGTCAGTCCAAGGTCCCAGAGTTTCCTCTGAGCTTGCTGCAAACGCAGCCCCAGTGTCAAGTGTATCCAGACCTGCACAGAATCATTCAGGTACTATCTCATGCTGGAAATTATGATTTACTTGAAATCCAAAATACTTTTCAGACTTATTTACAGGAATGTTTACCAAGGAGTTTCTTTGAATTCTGTTTGTAGTGATTTTTGACAGTCTGGTCTGTTCAAAACACACTACTGTAAAAGTCCAGTTTGCTGTGTGGACTCTTTTGATGAGCCTTATACTTTTGTTGGATGCAACTGGGACCCTGTGTACACAATTTCAATCCACCACATGTACCACATGAGGTGTGAATGACAATAAAGAAACCTTGACCTTGACGGGTCATATTAATAAAATAAATAATCTTTTTCCGTCATAACTTTATTCTTTTATCATTTTTGTCTGAGCAACATGGAAAGTATTATTCAGTGCTTGATCTGCATTATCATGTAGCATCCTATGTTTTCACTCACCATAGTCATTGTCCCAAACCTTTAACTCTGAAACCTGTTGTTAGAGTGATACGTTGTTGATAAGAGGTGTTCGGATTGATCGGCCACCGATAGTGATCGGCCTATTTCCGTTAAAAAGTGTGTGATCGGCCGATACCGATCAATGCCTTTCAGTGCTGATCATAAAAACCATTCTATCCCTTTGCGGCATGCAGAGGTCCAGCGGTATATATATTTAAACAATGTTTTGAGATTTATTTGACTTTCTGCACTTTTTAGTCTGTTGAGAGCCTTAACATTTTCAATCTGTCAAAGATTCTGTTGCTGATAGCATGTACATTTTTTTCAGTTGTCCTTTAGACTAAATAGTTGCTGTATTGTGCCAGCTAGTTTTTTTTTATTTTTGTCTTGAAAAAGTAAATAAAAACATTTTTGCCCAAACTAAGGTGATTTTATTGTTCCCTTTTTACAGAACACATAGCAAGTAGCACTCATCTTAACCAATTCAAACATTTTATAGCCAAATCATGTGATTGGTATCGGGGATTGGTATTGATGGTCAGCACAATGCGTGATCGGTATCGACAGAACAAAACCTGATCGGAGCATCCCTACTGATGATCATTCTTGGCTATTACCAAAGCAAATTCCAGCCTAAATTACCTAAAAATTAATGAGCTGAAGCTGAAAGAACCCCAATAGTCCATAAAAAAACTAATATTAGTGGAAAAGTAAGTGAAATGAAAGACCTCATTCTTGTCTACGTGATCTGAAGGGTCTGTTGAACTGGAGGGTCTTCACTAAACTCTGGACAGTAATTAAAAAAAAAAAAGTCAAACATTTTGGGTTTACTGATGAGGGAAAATGGCTTTTTTTATCTGTGCTTTTTGAAAATTGCCATTAAATGTTTTGTTAATATTTTGATTGTTTTTTTTTTTTACTAAGTGCATTTAAAGATTTCAATATTTTTAAAGTTAATATGTTTGTTTCTGAGTGAGATAAGTTTGAAAGACGACTATTATGGAAAATTTGTTTTAAATAGCATTTTTAAGCAGGTACATAAGATGGCTAGTTTTTCTCCTAAGCAACATGAATGCTCAAAGTTACAAAGTTAAATGGCAACACAAAGATCTAAAGGAAATGAATATTTATTATATTGTTTTGTTATGGTGTTTTGAACCACTTTGACATGACTGTTGACGAGGGAGAGGGCAGACCCCGGTGGAGAGGGAGTGTCCCAGAGGCCATCATGGCACCAGCATAACTGGTTTTTCCACTTTGGAGTATGCTGTTGGAGGAGAATCACTTTTGTTTGGTGGTTCCTCAGACTGAAGAAGTCTGCTGGATGATGGACGAAATGTCTCGGCACAAAAAAGAAACCGTCCAGATGACCTGACTGAACATTGTTGGATTTTATACTTGGATTATTAAGCATGGACTTTGTTGAATAGTTATTATTCATTTATAATATAATTTATTTTACATTACATACTTTTTAATAATTGGTATTACTTTAGAGAAATTTAATTTCACTTTGACATTGAAGTTTGAAATTTTGTGTGTTTAGTTTTGTAAAGAAGCTAATGAATTTATATTGACCACAACTGATTTATGACTGCCATAAAATAATAAAACATACAAGGGAGTGAATACTTTTTATAGGTGCTGTACCTAACCCTAATTTCTTGTATGATTGATAATTTATTTTATTTTCCTGTTAAATGCTTTGTGAATGTTATTAATGGTGTGTGCCCTGTTGTTCCGTTCATCCAAGTGAAGATGTGAGCAACAGAAGTCTAACACAATGTGTTATTCATGTACTGTATCTACTGTCTGTAAAAGGCTTTACACTTAGGTTAAAAATGACAATGTCATAAACAAATAAAGGTTTTTTCATTTATCTTTTCAACTGATCACTTTACAGAACAAATTCATGGACATCCTGTCTCAGTATTTTAAAAGTGTGCCCTCCAATCCACACTACTTCTTTTATTGTTACCCGTCGATGAAGAAAGATGTGAGTTTCATTTATATTTTTTATATATTTTATCCACTATATTATATACTTTGGTTATACTGTTATTTTTATTCCAAATTTTGAAACACTTTTCAACAATGTACAATCTCTGTGAGTGAAGAAACAGTTTCTCCATCCTTTGCTAAATAAGTAATATGAAACCAGGTAGGATTGTAGAAACAGATTACATCATGTAAAGAGAAGCACATGCCTCAGTTCCCAGTGAATTAACCTCTGCTTTGTGTATTCTGAACTCAGGTGAACTCAGAAGATGGAGTGTCAGAGAAGATACCCAGTGAAGAGCTGCTTTCAGAGGCTGAGCCGGCAACTGAAGAAGGTTAGCATCTTGTAGTCAGTCCTAACCAGTTAGATACACACTCGTTCTGTTAGTAAACCCTACTACTGGAAGGCAAAGATGCTTATGTTTTTGCTCATATTTGCTGTGCTTTTGTTATTCACATCACTGTTTGAGTGTGACATCTCATGATAGAACATTAAATAGTGAATAACTATAATATTCAAGGTCCGACCAAAACAGCTTTTCATTTGCTCAACACAAGATAATCTTAGTCTAAACCTCTAGCGTGAAATGTAGTGTGCAATACAGTATACATAACTTCACAAAATGCTAGCGACTTATTTATGGATTTTTTCCATATTTATAACCCAATTTTTGACCGAGATATGACCATTTTCATTCATTCATTCAAGACTTGCTCTTGTCAAGAGCGGACGCCTTTCCCCTCCTCTCCCTCTCCGCTTTGCTTTGCTCTGTCCTGTCTGTGAAACTGCTTTAGAGCCTCTTGTCTACAAATCTTCCGAATAATAATTCAGCTATGGATTTGGTCAGTTGGTCCCTCAACGCAATTGATAACATTTCTTCGAAGAGAAGACAAGATTTAGGCGAGCCAATTTGCCCTGTTGGCATGCATGCAGCTGGATATTTCATCAACTTGGAAGACTTGATAATGTGTCTATCTCTGCTGTCAATCGTGGATGTTAAGGACGCATATATAATTGGATTTATGATAACTGGCTTCCTACTTTTTGGATTTGGCTGGTTCCTGGTCTATCAACAAACACGAAAGTCGCAGGCAGCAAATTTGGGCCCTGGTCAGGCTTCCTGCCTTATGATGGCTTGGTTCGTGCCTCAAGCACCCAGACTCAAATGCTTTTGGCAGGAAGGATCAGATCTCTGGGAATTACTCTCAGGCACGGTCCAATGGCGCGGCCATTTAATTTGGACATTTCGGAACTGAGAGGACCGACACAGACTCAAGGTAGACAGTCAGTAAAGTTCTGCCTGTCCCCATAACAATCATGTTTATCTGAATTCGGCTCCCTGACTGGCTTTGACAGGCCATCTTATCTTAATTCGCCTTGAAGCTCTGTACACCTTGATGTAAGCCCCTGTAAGCCCCTCTCCCAACGAGGAAATCTACAGACCGATCTGATGGGCCCAGCTTAATAAACATTGTCATCATTTCAGGACTCTTTGGATTCCATCTGACGTCGTCCTTGGCCGTCCTCGGCACCCCCCGAGAGTGTCTCTGGACATGTTCACCGGCCTTGCCCCCCTACCCCCCGAAATGTTGGCGTCATTAAGTGCTTGTGTCTGAGGTTTTTTTTTTCATGCCTTTAATCTTCAGCCAAAGATTAAAAGCATGTTAGGATTTTTTTTCCCTCCAAAACCTATGTTGTCACTTTCACCACTTACTGTCTGTCCAAACACGTCTCACTTGTAAATGAGTTTTCAAGGCTCACTGTAATTTATCTGTTTACATAAAGGTTGAATAAAAAAAATTCTGACATGGAAAATATTGAACACTACCATTTTCAGCTGCTAGATGGCACTTGAGTAGTATGGCATGCCGATGTGTCATGTAATCGGTAAAAGTGGCTATTAATGACACAATCGACTTGCCATAGACTGCCCCCGTCGTCCAGCTCTGGGATCATGCCTGGAGTAACCATGAAATCAGTTTCATCTCACTGCACCGCCCCAGCAAAATGCAGCTAATTTGACCACTGAAGTGCATTTATTAACTAAAAGTTCAACTGAGACACAACTTTGCTATATTGTCAAACAAACAAATAATTGTCTCATGTGTTTATCTTGTTAAATTTAGAAGAAATGCGCAGCGTTTCTCCTTCCTGATTTTCTCCCTCTATGTGCTCCTGGAGCACTGAGGCAGCGAATACTTTTGAAATGCATCTGATTTTATCATTAAAGTGCATTTATTAAGGAAATGTTAAACTGAGACACACCTTTACTATAATCTCAAACAAACAAATAATTGTTTTTAGGTGGTAATCTTGTTAAATTTCAATGAAACGCAGTGAGTCGTCCATTTGCGCGCTCCTGCTTCCATGAATTGGCTTTTAAAAATGCATCTTATTTGACTGTCAAAGTGCATTTATTAAGGAAAAATTAGACTGAGATACATTTCTACTATAATTTTGAGCAAACAAATAATTGTTTTTAATTGTTATTCTTGTTAAATTCTTGTTAAAGTCCTCCCGTCCACTCTCCCACTGCCGCCATTTGGTAGCCAATCAGTTTTTGGCACAACCCTGGCTCACATTTCCGAGTTCGGTCCACATTTCTGGGTTGTCAGCAGTGACGCATAATAAACACGACGTGTCAGTGGTGACGCATTTAGATGCAACGTATATGGTGAAGCGACTTATTTGGTTTTTTTCCACATTAATAGCCATATTTGGACTGATGTGACTTATACGGCAGTGCGACGTGTACGGCGGAAATTACGGTACTTTATTTAAGAGTGTCTATAACTCATTCCATGAAATTCTCAATTTTTCTGCATCTAAGCATAATATTTGATCATGCAAAGAAGAGATCATGCAATGCATGTTTTCCATCCTATTATGTTTTTAAATAGAGGTTGTCAGGGGATGAGTTTCCTGCACTTAGTTTCTAAGTTGATTTGGACTTTCAGAAGGAATATGCTTTGAGTCATCATGCATACGCAATTTCATACATCTTGCTTCTCATCTCTTGACAAATTTTATTTTGTGTATAAAGGCCGAAGTAGATATTTTGATTATCAAGAGTGCAAACCCTTTATGAAGAAAAATAAGATTCTGTTGTCCTACAATTTGTTGCTGCTTCAACACTCAAGAGTTGCTTGCCATGATGTAGGGCTTGGTGTGAGCTTTAGCAAAAAAAAAAAAGTAAGAACAATTATGAATTAGTAGCCTTTAGGTGTTAAAAGTAAGAAATTGTATTTTTTATTTATCATGAACATTTCCTTCTAAAGTCCAGATATTTTGAAACAATAGTATAGCTCTGATGATACCTGCTGCACATCATGGTTCTCATTGCTGTATGTACACATAAAGCAGTGGCGCTTTCAGAAGCTGATATGATAATGATGACTTTTTCTTTCGTGCCTAGACAACATGTCAGGCTGCTGCAACACGTCAGAAAGTGACACAGACCTGGTGGTGGAATATGAGGAGCATCTAGATTCCAGCTCCCATGGAGAAGATGAAGACCACTCCCTGACAGATTCCAACACAGTCAACCAAGACCAGGACTCCTTCAGCATCCTGGATGGAGACTCCCTGCTGGAGCCTGAAGTACCACAGCTGGACATGCCCCCCCTGTTTGTTCACATCACCTGTTCTGTCAATATGAAAAGCAGCCATGGTTCCATGCCCATACAAACACTTCCCACATGTCTGGGTGAGTACATGTTTTTTTTAATTCCTCTACAGTAGTGCCAAAGAATGATGGTTGTGAGATGCATGTTATCTGAGTACTCTGGGATCTGTAAAAGCATCTGTGTAGGATGATGACTCACACCTCTCCACTTCACTTCTTACTAGTGATTGGTTTGCATCAGTCACCTTCAAGGGTGCTTATTTTCACATACTTATGTACCCTCATGTCCCAAAAGTGCTGAACTGTAGAGCAGGTCGTCTCTCCAGAGAGAACCCTCTTTATGCGCAGTGGAAATTCCATCCAGAGGTGGTCTGACAGGGATGAGGGCAACAATATGTGGACCTGGTTGCCTCACAGGAAAACAATGTGTCCTCTGTTCTTCTCCCTGCACAATCAGAATTCACCTCTGGGGGTAGATACACTCCCCTACAAGGCCATAGCCCTCATTTCACCAACATTAGCTAATGTATGGCCTGTCAGTGATTCTTATTGTACTTCACTGGTCTCACTCACTAACACTGGTTAACGGCAATAACGCTCACCTCTGGGAGGAGCAGTGTTCTCTGCTTGCAAGCAAGGACCTACTGCCTCAGGTTCGAGAGCAAATTTTTCACCCCTACTGAGAAAAGCTGACTTTGTGGGCTTGGCCCATGAAAGATTCAATCTTTAATATGTAGTACTTCCACAGGGTGTGATTGAAACATTACAGAATGTGAGGGCACTTACAACCAGATCTCTATTCGAGTATATATGGTCCATTTTTGAGAAAAGGTGCTTTGACATTCAAAAGATTCCTTTGTAGAGTTCTGTGGCTGTAATATTAGCTTTTTTTATGTGCTGATGAAGATTCTCAGTCATCCAGGACATGATGAATTCAAAAAAGCGTTCAATACAAAAACAACTGGACTTTATTTGTAACAGAAGACGTTTCGCTCCTCATCCGAGGAGCTCAGATTTCCACTTTCAAAACCATATAATGCAACTTTAAAACAGATTCCCAGCCGGTTTTCACACCTGATGGGAACAGAGGGGCCTCGTCTGTGAATTAGAGGAACAAAAGACTCTTACTGTTAAGGTGTTTAGGTGTGAATTGTCAATCTACGTATGTGTGTGTGTCTTATCTCACTCAGCCTTATAACCTGAATCTCTCACTCTCTGCTCTTTGAATTGAGAAAGCTTCTCGGATGAGGAGCGAAACGTCTTCTGTTACAAGTAAAGTCCAGTTGTTTTTGTATTGAACGCCTTTTTGAGCTTTTTTATGGTACCTGATTGACAAGAAACATGCCTTTTCCACTATTAAAGTTTTTTTGGCTTTTATTTTAGCCTACCATGTAGACTTTTAGCTAAAAACTACTGGCCGGCATCCCTTAATGCATTACTTTATGCAGGGGACTATCAGAATCCTAATCCTAATCACTTTTAAATATAACGATTTATTATTTACATTTACAAACTGGAATCTATCAGATAGATATGATTTAAACCATTTTAGAGCTGTTCCTGTAATCCCAGTATCATATTCAAGCCTCTGTAGTAAAATATTGTGATCAACTGTATCAAATGCAGCACTGAGGTCTAACAGGACCAGTATAGACACAAGTCCATTGTCTGAGGCCATGAGAATATCATTAGTTACTTTTACTAGTGCTGTTTCTGTGCTATGATGAGCTCTAAACCCTGAATGAAACTCTTCAAACAGATTATTTCTTTGTAGACGTTCACGCAACTGACCTGCAACTATTTTCTCTAGAATTTTTTAGATGAAAGTTAGGGTAGATATAGGTCTATAGTTGGCCAGAATTTCTGAATCAAGGTCAGACTTCTTAAGTAAAGGTTTAATTACAGCAACCTTAAAGCACTGTGGTACGTAACTATTTGTTAACGACAAATTAAGTAGATCCAAAATGTGGACATTAATTAGGGGAAATACCTCTTTAAACAGTCTGGTTGGGATGGGATCTAGCTGACATGTGGATGGTTTGGATGATGTTATTATTTTTGACAATTCAGAGAGATCAACAGGACAAAAACAGTCCATCCGCAAATCAGGCTCTAGTGAAATTTTTAAAGTTGTCTCATTTGACAAGGGACTAGAGATAGTAGAAGGATGGTTTGAATTTTCTCTTTAATTGAAATAATTTTATTTATAAAGAATCTCATGAAGTCATCACTATTTATAGTTGTAGGGATACATGGTTCAACAGAAATGGGACTTTTAATTATTCTAGCAATAGTACTAAACAGAAACCTAGGGTTATTTTTATTCTCCTCTATTACAGATGAGTAATATAAAGTTCTAGCTTTACGGAGAGCTTTTTTATATGTTAGCAGACAATCTTTCCAAGTTAAATAAAATTCTTCAACATTAGTAGAGCACCATTTCCTCTCCTGGTTTCTAGATGCCTGCTTTAAAGTACGTAACTCAGAATAGAACCAAGGAACCAGTTTCCTCTGATTGATTACTTTCTTTTTCAGTGGAGCAATTTTATCAAGTGAAGTTTGCATTGAAGTTGTAAGATGATCAACTAGATGATCTAAGTCACTGTTCTCTGATGCATTACTCTGCAAGACAGAGGAAAACATTGATGGAAGAGATTGTTTAAATTTGGTTACAGTGTTTTCTGATAAGTGCCTGCTATAAAAACAAGTACACACACACACACAACTCTGTGATGCACAAGGTGGACGGGGAATGACATGAGCCAGGGCTAAAATAAAAAAAACATAAACCAGGGCTGACATCAAGTGGGTTGGAATCTGATAATTTCTTGCAGTTCTAGTTATTTTAACTGTTTTTTTACACCGACATAAAGCTTTAAAGGTTGTTGTAAACACAGTGTTTTGTTGCAGAGCTCATGTCAACGCTGTGTTTGCAGGTGAGATCATTTCTTGCCTGGAGAACGTTGAGGCTTTACAGTCTGTGGATTTGAGTGAGCTCTCCGTCACTTTGGATGTGTTTGTTCTGACTCTTCCTCTGGAGATTGAAACCATGAATGATTTTCATCATAACAGGTGATTGAAAGCATTTTACAAAAATCCATTACTGTGCAGCATTATGGACAAAAAATATTTTTTAAGTGTTTTTGGTGTGAAAAGTACAATTTATTTTTGACATGTTAATTAGGAAAAAAATAAAAATCTAAATGAATGAATGAATAAATTAGGTGATGTAATGAGGCACTTCAAAGTTTTGTCAACCAACAAGATGCATACTTGAAAATAAACAAAACCAACACTTCCTTTATTTCATTGTGTCTGTATGTTAGAATGAGGAACAAGACAAGAATGGTGAATACAAGAGCAAGAACCAAATCATTTTAATGGATTTAAAACAAATGGAACAACTATTTTGCGTCACATTACAAGACCACAAAGTACAGGACAGTGAGTTTTGACTGGGAGTCATGTCAGTCCTAGTATGTGGACATACTACACACTTTTCAGGCACAGTATCAAGTCAGGGACGACTGAATGGAAGGGTTTTCCTCACATGGTCCAAAGCATCCATCTATCCTTTTCCTTTATCTGCTTCTTCCTTTCAAGGTTGTGGGAGTTTCTGGTGCCCATGTCCAGCAGTCACTGCGATAGGCAGGTTACACCCTGGATAGGTCGCAAGTCTTTTACAGGGCCACATAGAGACAAACAAAACAGCCATATTCTCTCATTCACACCTAGGGACAATTTAAACTTACTAATTAGCCTAATATGAACATTTTTGACCTGTGGGAGGAAACTAGTGTACCTGGAAAAAAAAAAAAAAAAAATCATGCATGGAGAGAACATGCAAACTCCATAAATAATAATAACATAATAAATAAATACAGAACTAAATAAATAAAGAACTACAATAAATAAAGAACCAAACAAAGTTTCTGCAAAAATGTTGAAGGGTGCCAATAAAGTTTTATTGCATTTAATGAATTCAATTATTTTTATTGTTTTTCTTTGTTTTTAGTTGGTTGTTTAGGTGTTTTATTTGTATTAAGAATGTTTTTATTTATTTTTTTAAATCTCTTGGAACAGATCTTTTTTTTTGTGTGTTAATATTACTACTTTATGAATCCTGGGCCTTTGTTTGGAAAGATGAGAGGGAACACTTGAAAGTATTTTCGTAAAATATTTTTTTCTCTTTGCATAAGAAAAAAACAGTTAAAGCAATGCCAATTTTGATTGTAAATTTCTGAAAAATCTACTGCAAAATCAGGCATTTTGGGTCTCAGCAATGAGAAAAAAATGTGTATGAAATCCTGCTAAGACTGAATATTTCACAAAAATAATTAATCTGACTAATAATGCGTTAAAATATCAATTGTGTCTCACATCAAATCAGGATTGTGGTTGCTTTAATCTAAAATAAGTCCACTTTTCATTTCCTTGCATTTTAAGCTTTGTTTTGATACCTAGATCATCCCGATATCATAAGTAGTATAAAAAAATTAAGATTTTTCTGCTCAAAATCATTGTTAATAGTTGAAACTGTTCAAAAAAGTTCTTCAAAACATTCTTTAGAATTATATTTAGGACATTTCATTCAAGGGACTCAGATAACATACTTTATTCATCAAATTTTGACAAAATCCATGTATTGAAATTTTTACAATTGGTACACTATAGCTGACTATATCTCAACATACCACCTTACAACCCAATCCTCGGTTCTGTTTGACAGGTCACAAATAGTTAATATCAGTATACCTGGATTTTAATTGGATTGGCTTAGACTATGAAGGAAACTAAGACTATGGTCAGCATCATAACAGAAGGAGACTACTGGTAGTAAGGAGTGTACTTACAAAGTATTTTTTATTTATTTATTTGCCTTTTTTTTAACCACATGAAATGTTCAAAAACCAGTTCTCATTTGCAAACATGTAAACAGGTCATCTCAACATTCACCAGTATCAGAATATTTTTGCAGTTTAGAATTGGACCCAGAGCCACAATCCTTGTCATATGGTTTGTTTGTGTGCAGGTACACCTCAGAGAGCAGCATGTCTTTGAATCGTTCACCAGCTCAGCCTTCCTCTTATCGCTCCGATGACGAGTTGATGACTGTATTGGACGGTCTG